ATCCACCCACTGGAAATGGACCCTGAAATCGCCACCTTCAAACGAACAATTAACACTATGATGGATCAACTGCAAGTCTTCGGTAGTGAAGTGTCCCGTGTCGCACGCGAAGTCGGTACTGAAGGGATACTCGGTGGACAAGCTCAGATCACTGGCGTCCATGGTATTTGGAAAGAGCTTACGGAGAACGTCAACATTATGGCCAAGAATTTGACAGATCAAGTGCGAGAAATTGCCGCCGTGACTACCGCTGTCGCTCATGGTGATCTTAGCCAGAAGATTGAGAGCCGGGCCCAAGGTGAAATTCTGGAGTTGCAACAAACCATCAATACCATGGTAGATCAACTTCGGACGTTTGCAACAGAAGTTACTCGAGTCGCGCGTGATGTCGGTACGGAAGGTGTACTAGGAGGACAAGCTCAAATCGAAGGTGTGCAGGGAATGTGGAACGAACTCACGGTTAATGTTAACGCCATGGCCAACAACCTTACCACGCAAGTGCGAGATATTGCTACTGTCACAAAAGCTGTTGCCAAGGGTGATCTCACGCAGAAGGTCCAGGCCAACTGTAAGGGAGAAATAGCAGAACTGAAGAACATCATCAATTCCATGGTGGACCAACTACGGCAATTCGCACAAGAAGTCACCAAGATTGCCAAGGAAGTCGGTACCGATGGTGTTCTCGGAGGCCAAGCTACTGTGAATGATGTTGAAGGAACGTGGAAGGATTTGACGGAAAACGTCAACCGTATGGCCAACAATCTGACCACGCAGGTGCGTGAGATCGCGGACGTTACCACCGCAGTCGCCAAGGGTGACCTCACCAAAAAGGTTACTGCCAATGTACAAGGAGAAATCCTCGACCTCAAGAGTACGATTAATGGCATGGTGGATCGTCTCAATACCTTTGCTTTTGAAGTGAGCAAAGTGGCTCGTGAGGTCGGCACAGATGGTACTCTCGGCGGGCAGGCTAAGGTGGACAACGTGGAAGGCAAATGGAAGGATCTGACGGACAATGTCAACACCATGGCCCAGAATTTGACGTCTCAGGTTCGAAGTATATCCGATGTCACGCAAGCTATTGCCAAGGGAGACTTGAGCAAGAAGATTGAAGTGCATGCTCAGGGAGAAATTCTTACGCTCAAGGTCACTATCAACCACATGGTGGGTCGACTGGCCAAATTCGCCACTGAGCTAAAGAAGGTCGCCCGAGATGTCGGCGTTGATGGCAAGATGGGTGGACAAGCCAACGTGGAGGGTATCGCGGGTACTTGGAAAGAAATTACTGAGGATGTGAATACCATGGCCGAGAACTTGACATCCCAAGTCCGCGCTTTCGGTGAAATTACCGATGCCGCCACTGACGGTGACTTTACCAAGTTGATCACGGTCAATGCGTCTGGTGAAATGGACGAACTGAAGCGAAAGATCAATAAGATGGTTTCCAACCTACGGGACAGTATCCAGCGAAACACTGCCGCTAGGGAGGCTGCCGAACTCGCCAATCGCACCAAATCAGAGTTCTTGGCGAACATGTCGCACGAGATCAGAACGCCGATGAACGGTATCATTGGAATGACCCAGTTGACCTTGGATACGGATGATCTCAAGCCTTATACCCGAGAAATGTTGAATGTCGTTCACAACTTGGCGAACAGTCTGTTGACTATCATTGATGACATTTTGGATATCTCTAAGATCGAAGCCAACCGGATGGTCATTGAGAGCATTCCATTCACCGTCAGAGGTACTGTCTTCAATGCTCTCAAGACGTTGGCTGTGAAGGCCAACGAGAAGTTCTTGAGTTTGACCTACCAAGTTGACAACACCGTTCCTGATTATGTCATTGGCGATCCATTCCGTCTCCGCCAGATCATCCTCAATCTTGTTGGCAATGCTATCAAGTTTACCGAGCATGGTGAGGTTAAGCTCACTATCCGAAAGTCGGACAGAGAGCAATGCACGACCGACGAATACGCCTTTGAATTCTCAGTAGCTGATACTGGTATTGGAATCGAAGAGGATAAGCTTGATCTCATTTTCGACACTTTCCAACAAGCCGATGGCTCAACCACCCGCAGATTTGGTGGCACTGGGTTGGGATTGTCGATTTCCAAGCGCCTTGTGAATTTGATGGGTGGTGACGTCTGGGTCACTTCTGAATATGGACATGGAAGTACTTTCCACTTCACCTGTGTGGTAAAACTCGCGGACCAGTCTTTGAGCGTTATCGCCAATCAGCTCTTGCCGTACAAGAACCACCGGGTGTTGTTCATCGACAAGGGTCAGAACGGTGCTCAAGCTACCAATGTCATGAAGATGTTGAAGAAGATTGACCTGGAGCCGTTGGTTGTACGGAACGAGGAACATGTTCCCCCGCCCGAGATCCAAGATCCTTCTGGCAAGGAATCAGGCCATGCCTACGATGTTATTATTGTTGACTCGGTAGACACGGCCCGGGTGTTGCGAACCTTTGACGAGTTCAAGTACATTCCGATTGTTTTGGTCTGTCCTTTAGTGTGCGTGAGCTTGAAGTCGGCTTTGGACCTGGGTATCAGCTCATATATGACTACCCCGTGTCAGCCGATTGATCTCGGCAACGGTATGCTACCAGCCTTGGAAGGCCGGTCGACGCCAATCACCACAGACAACTCACGTTCATTCGACATTCTTCTAGCGGAGGATAACGACGTGAACCAGCAACTTGCAATGAAGATTCTTCAGAAACATAACCACAACGTGTTTGTTGTTGGTAATGGCTTGGAAGCTGTCAATGCTGTCAAGAAACGTCGTTATGATGTTATTTTGATGGATGTTCAGATGCCAGTCATGGGTGGCTTTGAAGCCACTGGCAAGATCCGTGAATATGAACGCGAGAGTGGACTTCAAAGAACTCCAATTATCGCGCTCACTGCCCACGCCATGTTGGGTGACCGGGAGAAGTGTATCCAGGCCCAGATGGACGAATATTTGTCCAAACCTCTCAAACAAAACCAGATGATGCAAACTATCCTCAAATGTGCTACCCTTGGCGGGTCACTATTGGAGAAGAGCAAAGAGTCTAGGATATCGAGCAGTGGGGAAATGCACCCCAATTACTCAATGAATGAGAACCAACAACCGCCGCCGCCACCACCACAACAACAACGGTCAAAGCAGCAGCCCTTACCGTCCCCTCGCCCGGTTATAGATTCCCGGTCTATCACAACCTCTGGTCCCATTACTCGAGGGAGTGTGGTCAGTCCGTCGGAAGAGAAGGAAGAGGTCATCGACGAGCGGGTACGTTAGCTGTATGTTCAGAGCCACCCGCAAACAGCAAGGCTAATTATTTCCAGGCATTGCTCCGATCCAACAGTACATGAGTTTAGCATATTTATTTCCATGCAGATGATTTTCGATGAGACTATACCCTGTCTATATGAGTCTCATCTACTTTTGTCTACTTCATACCCACCCGCGTCTTTCCCCCGTCTATTATCATTCTCCATCATCAACCTCCACCATTGCATTCGCTTTTTTTCTTCTGAGTTTCATTTCTCCTCCTCTTGGAGGTGGTGTTTGGCGCAGTCTACTACAGGACCTGGTTTGATCTACATATATGGAAGGAAGGATGATCGAATAGGGGAGTTTGCGCTTACCAGAGAAGCGCTTTGTTCTTTTTACCTCTGGTTGCTTCACATTTTTCTCTCTCTAGCCTCTCGCTTTCCCCATCAGCATCTTCTTGCCGGCCATTCTTGTATTGTATTTAGTATTTTACTGATCATATCAAGCGCGGCACAAGAACACCGCTCGATTTCTTCGATGTCTCTTCTTTCTATCATTTACCTCCCATTTAGCCCGCACATCATCTAGCTTCTAGCTACATAACCCTCAATCTATTTCTTTAGACTACCTATCTTTAACCCTTCCAACGCTGTTCCGCGTGCATTCATGGTGTATACCTGACGACCTCGGTTCTTCTTCCATATCCTAGAGTTTGGCTATTCGATCAGTTCTGACGTTGGACTGACTTGACATAGTCCCTCATTCACCTTCCCCTTCTTCATCTCCCTCTCTCACTGTCTTCATCTTCTTTCCTTATCAGACAGAACCAACATGTTCCTCTTTTCTCATATCATGTTTTATGAGAGTTTCAAACAACCTATTAGCTAACTGCCTGGTTCTTTGCTGCCAAAGATCTCCCTCTAGCTACTCCTGCTAGATATATATTCCTATATCTTTGGAAGTTTGTGAGACAATAATAATCCTTCCTGCCATCGCTGCAACCATGGCTACCATGGCTACCTGATTTCAGATCCTTGTAGCATCACAAGCTGGCTGATTATGTCTTCCACCTATGTGTGCTCCTATTTGCTGATCGTTTTATCTTAGCTGGTCTACCGAGACTCTACCTATCTTGATACTGGGATCTTCGCCTCTCCCTATGTACGTAGGGTACAAACTCTTGTTGTCTTGGATGGGTCGCCTGTTTTCCAATTTGCAGGGATTGCGGAGAACGACCCTGATCCGCTTAAGTCCCCAGAGTCCTAGTTGTATATAGATACAATAGCCAAGTATTGATTTTATGTTGAATCATTGCTTAAAATACTATAGACGGTTGAGCTTGAGGCTACTCTGTGTCTATAGCAGAGGGAGGTGGGTTGACTAAGAGAACTTTGTTGATAGAGGGTGTAGACGAGGTTAATAGCATTTGCCTAAATGGGATATTTGTTGGGGTCGTTCTCCAAAGATCTCATTATGGTCGTTTGACCACTCTGGCCACTGTACTGACTAGCAAACTAGCAACCTATGTAACATCTTGGGTCATTGTAAACACATTTTAATTAGCCTCTCAAGCAGTAAGAGGCTAACAGCCCACTGGATATGAGATATGATGAAAAACATTGATTGCTTTTAAAACACCAAAGCATGCCCAACTCCGAAAATCTGCGTGCTGCAGGAACCGTGTCGTATCTGAGAAAGCACAAAACAAAAGAAAATATAGATGCCCAAGATAAAATTTAGTCGATATCCATCTGCTCCTCCACTCCACCATCCACCAAAAGCTTGCTCTTCTGCTTCTGGCGAACTCTCTCCTCGCCGTGAACTCTGTTGGAAACCTTGCTCTGCTCGGCCACCATGGGGAGACCCTCCTCGCGCTCCCGGAGTTCCTTCCGGATGAGGTGCTCGCCCTCGTTGACGACCTTGCGGTCCGCCTCGCGCTGGCGCTCGCGGGAGGTTTTTCCGGCCAGGCGGCGTTTCGTGAATACACGCTCGCGGCGGGCTCTGATCTCCTCGACTCTCTCCATGGCAGTGATGGTAGCAGCCATGAGATTGCGGTCGTACTTGACGGGGACGTTTCTCTTCTTGGCGAACTGGGACAGAACAAGCGACGAATCCACGATCATTTCCTTTCCGCGGGAGGCACGGTGAGTCTTGGTCCACTTAAGCTTGCGGGGCTGACGCTTCATCTTGAAGTTCTTGTGGCACTTGGACCGACAGAAACGAAATTGTCGGGCATCGTTGCGGACGAATGTGATTCCCTTACTCGGGAAAGCCGGGCGGGAACAGAAGTGACAAGTTTCAACACTGCAGATGAAAATGATATTAGCATTCCGTAGAACGGATAGAGACAAAAATTAACGGCAAAACTTACCGCATGGTTGTAGAGTGGTGTTGGTTATGTCTTCGTTGAGTCGCAAGAAACTTTTTCTGTAGCTTCGGGCCTGAATGGTGGAGCAGACCACGCTAAGCCCTTTTGGGGACACCCGCGCTGACTTTTCTATCCCGGCGCCTCTTCGCTCATTCCCCGGTCCAACCGACTTGATCTCGTTTTCGTGACCTCTCTATCTCGATCTACAAAATGGCCTCTATCCTTGCTGTTGGATTTGGCATTGCCACAACCGCCTTTCTGGTGAGTTAAAAAGTGATTTGCTAGCAGCACAGGACTAACTCATTGTCTACAGGGCCGCGCCGGTCTGGTCGCTTACCGCCGCTCCAGAGGAGGATTGAACGCTGCCGGAAAGGCATTCTATAAGGGGTTCGTGGACATTTCGCCAGGTTGTGGTCATATGGAATATTGACTAACGTATAACAGAGGATTCGAACCGCGCATGAACCGTCGGGAAGCGTCTCTGATTCTACAACTTGCGTAAGTGCTAGTGACAAACCTTTGATGTGCCAGAACTGACAGTATCTCTCAGTGAACGAACTTTGACCAAAGACAAGATCCGCAAGAACCACCGCCAGCTCATGTTGCTCAACCACCCCGATCGCGGCGGTAGTCCATACCTGGCCACCAAAATTAACGAGGCGAAGGAATTCCTCGACAAACATGTTTGAGACCTTGCCAGTGCGGCCTTGACTTCTTTCTTCTCTAGCATGGACCCTCGGGTCACGATGGGAAAGCGAATTTAGGTCTCGACATGACAAACTGGTCATTATATTTTGGGCATATAGCGTGGCGTTGGTTTGGCATTTACAAGATCGGAGGAACAGGACTGCTCTTTACGAACCTTGTTGTATTATATGTACTATTCTCACATATCCCTACGAGATCGCCGCTCTTCATTGAATGTACTTTTATTACTATCTATCCGACAGATCCAGCATAGAACCGGCAATCCGCGGCATCACATCAGATCATACCTCTAAATTGTCGCTCATGGTGAGTTTTAGTCATACATAACCAAGCTCTGGAGTAGTTAACTAACTACGGAGTCGGTAGGTAACCATAAGGTCAACTATTGTCTAGGTGGATGCTAAGAAACACGTATGTTGTAGGGCTGCTCTCCGGTTACAAGGCCCGGATACGGAATCCGTCCTACCCCATATAGAACGCCACACCCTCCCAAGAATAATTACGATACACAAAGAGCAAAAAGGCCTTTGATCGGCGCAACCAAAGAGTGGATTGCCAGAGACTGAACGGAAGCCCAAGCCCCGGATCGGACGAAATCGACCGTCTGCTCGGCGGTCGGGTTTCGGGGTTCCGTCATGCCACAAAATAATCTTCGAGGCAGCAACTTGTATAGCGTAACTCGGTAGAGCATTTTGTGCTCTTACTGCCACAGTTGGAGTCATATTGATTCACACAGATCCTTGTCCTCACGTGTGGTTGAGTCATTTCTTACCTAAAGCCCCGAACTTTCCAAGGTTGGGGTAATTGTGCCCAGTGATTTCATTGTCTACTCCCTCGAAAAAAAGATCCCATCCTTGCATGCGTCATTCACTTCAATAATCTATAGCGCACCCTCTCCTCTCTCAGGGGCGAAACAAAAAAGCTTTGCGCCGAGAGACAGCACCCCGCAGTATCACCCGTTACTTATCACCGCTATTACTTTTACTCCGCGGAGTTTCCGTGGCCCCTCAAACACAAAATGGATGGCCTGGGGGACGGCGACGGCATGGGCTTCGACCAGCCTAATATGATGAACCAGACACCACAGCTATTCAGCTACGATCCGTCTCAGATGCAGGCGGGATCTATGTACGATGATTCGTCATTAGGCGCGGGGGACGAGACCAACGATGCGAAGAGACGGAGGATCGCGAGAGTGAGGATCATTACCCGTTACGGATATCGAGAACACCCCTAATGAGCAAACAGGCGTGCGATATGTGTCGGAAGAAGAAAATCAAATGCGATGGAAAAATGCCAAAATGTTCTCACTGCATTAACTACAAAACGGAATGCATCTTCACACAAGTGGAGAAGAAGCGAAATCCTCCTAAAGGGTATGTATACTTGTATACTTCATTGCATATGGGGTTCTATATCTGACTTGGGGATTTCTTACATAGAGCGAAATACATCGAAGGTCTTGAAAACCGACTGGGTCGGATGGAGTCGTTGTTGCGTTTGTCGGGTCTTTTGTCAGAAGACGATGGCGGCAAGACAGATCTCGGAACATTGGAGAAACGGCTAGCGGATCGAACGAATGCGTTGAACGCAACGAAAAGCTCCAGCATGTTCATGGCTCAAGCAGCTGCAGCTCAACAAGCTTCAAGCTCCCACCAAACCACACCTCGTATGGAATCCAACTCCAGCCCCCAGACAGCCGCTACATCACCAGAGTCACAAAAGTCGGAGACCGAAGTTGAGGCACTGTCGGATATGATGTGTTCTTTGGTGACGAACAACTGCGGGGAAACTCGGTATATTGGTAGGCTTTTTCGCGCAACTGTGCTGGGCTAGCTTGCTAACATCCTCAGGATCATCCTCTGGATTCTCTATATTCTCTCCAAAGGGTATTCAATGGGTCAATGAGAAAACCGGCGATACATCCTTCCAAGACATGATTTCGTCAGCATATGTCGATGACAATAAATGGATGTACTGGAAGCCCGAAATCTTCAGCGATATTTTCGCAAGGCGTGTGTTCAAACCTCTCCCGCCAAAGGAAGAAGCCCTTTCTCTGTTCAAGGACTTCTTTGAAAATTTCAATTGCATGTTCCCACTGTTTCACGAAGCGACATTCATGCACTTGGTGGAGCGGCAATATTCCCGCGACCCCTACGAGGGTTCGGGCTGGTGGGCAAGCATAAATGTTGTTCTGGCGATATCTCACAGGCTGCGGATTATGAGTAACTTGGTGCCACACGAAGAGGATAAAAGAGCTTGGCTTTATTTGAAGAACGCCATGGGAGTTTTGACCGAGCTTACAATGCGCAACACGGATCTCTTGAGCGTGCAAGCGCTATTGGGCATGGTAAAGTTTCCTACCCTGGTATTTGTAGCTTTGTCTTACATACTCTTCTAGTCACTCTTTCTTCAAGGAACCCCTAACCCACAGCCTGCTTTCTTTCTAGTCGCTGCGGCGATTCGACTTTCCCACAGCATTGGTCTACACAAACGCGGCTCTGGCTTTGGCCTCAATGTCGTTGAAGTTGAGCAGCGGAAGAGAGTCTTCTGGATCGCCTATCTTCTTGACAAAGAGTATGAGCTGCTTTCCGACCCCCGAATACCTTTATCTCCAATACTGACCAATTCCTTAGCATTTGCCTACGCTCTGGTCGACCTCCAGTACAGGATGACGATGATATGAATGTCGAGTTACCGAGCGAAGATCCGCCGGACAATGTTGGAAATGTGCCACTATCTGATGGTAGAAGCAAGTTCAACCTATTCCGGTCATTGTGTGAATTTGCCACCATTGAAAGCAGAGTATACAAGCGACTTTATTCCGCCAAAGCATCGAAACAATCAGACGGTGAATTGCTCAATACAATCGGTGAGCTTGACAAAGAGCTGGAAGATTGGAAAGACAGCATTCCTATCGACTTCCGCCCCGAATACGACATTCAAGCCACCCACACCCCCCTCATCATCCACATGGTTGTTCTACATTTTGCCTACTACAATTGCCTGACCACCATTCATCGGATGTCGGTTCATCACGGGTATTGGACAAGCCGTCTATCCAACTATGCCATACAAGGCTTAAATGCACGGCCCTTGAACCCTAGGGTATTCTTGTCGGCAGTTTTGTGTGTCACTGCTGCCAGAGCATCGATTAATCTAATCAAGTATATCCCACAAGGAGACTTTGCTTGTGTTTGGTACGTTTCAGAGAATTGTGAAAACGAACAGTTGCTAACTCGATACCAGGCTGATTCTCTACTACCCGGTGTCTGCCCTCGTAACTCTTTTCGCCAACATCCTCCAGAATCCCACCGATGCTCGTGCTCGATCCGATGTTAAATTAATGAGCGTGGTAGTCAGCTTCCTTTCTACCCTAGTGTCCGACGAATCAAACGGCAGCATCAAGCGTATGCTAGGCCTTTGCGGTGAATTCGAGAGAATTGCCAAGGTGGTCTTGGATAAAACCGAAAAAGAGTCTCATTCGCGAAAGAAACGCAAGAATGCAGAAGACACCACAGGCGCAGCCGAAGAACAGTCGACAAACTCACCCTCGGCCAAACGAACACAACAACCACCCACCTCTACATCCTTCTCTCCCTCCGTGTTTACCAACCCTACGGCTGCCGCCCCCTCGCCCGCTACAGGAGGACCATTCCCGGGGACTGCCATGCCCCCAACAAGTAGTCTCCCCGCTGACCTCCCAAGCAATGTTCATCCCATGCCTGGCATTGGACAGGAGTTCTCAGACATGCTGAGTCCTGATCAAATGCCCAATGTTGGATTCTCTGACCAACACCCATTCAGTGCCAGCCCCGGCATGGCACCATTTCAGCAGCCATTTGTCCCACAAGATCTCTGGCAAATGCCAATGACAATTGAGTGGGATTGGGCGGATATGTCCACCAACTTTCCTGCTTTTGAAGGAGCTGGTCCCGGTGGGCCACTGCCTGGGCAGTGATGATGACTGTATGATTGACCGAAGTCACCTTCATCTCTTATGTAGCTCATGGCGGTGGTATTATTATTTCCGGTGTTATCTCTCTACACTAAATTATCTCCACACCTCTTGTATAATGAAGCGCTCCTCTTCTTATTTCGAAACCATCCCCGAGGTCTCTTATGGAGTGACCAGGATAATTATGGGTTTCTATTACGCAGCGAATGGCGCAGGGGTTGGCCTTACTTATAGGACTATGTACAGACATGTCTCCAATCCAAATCAACCTTAGGCAATCTAATTCAATAACGGAATTCATAAACGACGGCGTTAGAGTAATCACGGCTTTAAGCTAGTTAA